ATAATCATTCTAGTCAGGGCCATGGGATGTTAATGTAAGGATTTAGTCATGTTACATCAGGTGCAGCTAAATTGTTAGTGTGAAACGACTGGAGCAGATTCAAGCAAAAACCCAATGTTTTCTCACTTTTCTGGTGTACACAGCTTGGTTTTCTTCATGCTGGAATGGGGATTGGACTCCAGAGGAGCCTGGGATGAGCTCTGCCTTGCTCCTGCTTTGGTCCTTGTTTTCCCTCTTGCTCTCTCGTGATCACTCTCTCTCTCTCTCACCTGTCAGGGGCCACATGGCACAGGGACCCCTCTGCATAGGCTCTGTTATCTCCATAGCTCTGCCAGCTTCTGTTTCCCCAAACGATGTGTTTTAAGCCCTTCCCATGCTAAGGGCTAACTGCTTATTATTTATCCTTCGGTGAAACTTCAGGAGAACTTTGGGATACGGGTACAAGAATTACAGTTATCTTTGTTTTGTAGATCAGGTTCCAGAGGTAGTGGGTGGCAAAGCTGTGATAAGGAGCCCTATCTACCACAGCCTGAAAGCTGTGCGATCTTTGACAAGTTGTGTAAATGCTGTGACTCCTTTTCCCCACCTCTAAAACGGGATGATAATGAGATGGACCTCATAGTGTCATTGTGAGTATTAATGAGGTAATTAACTAACTAACCAGTTTAGTAGACCAATGCCTGTACTACATAATCACCGTGTAAATGTGTTATTATTTATATTTACTATTGTTTCCCCTCAGCTGCACTGCTTTTTCTTACCTGTCTTGCTCATGGTACGACATAGCCTGACCCCACATAATGACCTCTTTGCTCAACCACCTTCCTTGGTTTCAACCTGTGCTGCCCAATATGGTAGCAACTCAGAAGCTATGGTTTCTGAGTACTTTCTTTTCTTTTTCTTTTTTGTTTCCTGAGTATTTTAAATGTGGGTAGTCTGGACTGAGATATGCTGGAAGTGTAAAATATATACTGCATAGCAAATACTGTGCAAAAAGGAAGCAAAATACCTTGCTAATGCTTTTTTATGTGATTGCATGTGAAATGATAATGTTTTCAAAATAATGAGTTAGATCAATGTATTATTAGAATAAATTGCACTTGTTTCTTTACTTTAAAAAAAAAAGATAATTAGAGGGGTGCCTGGGTGGCTCAGTCGGTTAAGAGTCTGACTCTTGATCTCGGCTCAGTTCACGATCTCATGGTTCATGGGATTGAGTCCCACGTCCGCAGAGCCTGCTTGGGATTCTCTCTCTCCCTCTCTCTCTGCCCCTCCCCTGCTTGTGACTTTCTCTCTCTCTGTCTCAAAATAACAAACAGTTTGTATTAAATGACAATTAGAAGAATTTAAATTACATATGTGGCTTGCATTATGTTTCTTTTTTAAAAAAATATAATTTATTGTCAAATTGGCTAACGTACAGTGTGTAAAGTGTGCTCTTGGTTTCAGGGGTAGATTCCTGTGGTCCATCGTTTACATACAACACCCAGTGCTCATCCCAACAAGTGTCCTCCTCAATGCCCGTCACACATTTTCTCCACTCCCCTGCCCCCATCAACCCTCAGTTTGTTCTCTATATTTGAGAGTCTCTTATGGATTTGTCTCTCTCTGTTTGAAACTATTTTTTCCCCTTTCCCTTCCCCCACAGTCTTCTGTTAAGTTTCTCAGGTTCCACAGATGAGTGAAAACATATAATAATCTGTCCTTCCCTGACTGACTTATTTCACTCAGCGTAATACCCTCCAGTTCCATCCACGTTGTTGCAAATGGCAAGATTTCATTCTTTCTCATTGCCAAGTAGTATTCCATTGTATATATAAACCACATCTTCTTTATCCATTCATCAGTTGATGACATTTGGGCTCTTTCCATGATTTGGTTCTTGTTGAAAGTGCTGCTATAAACACTGGGGTCCATGTGCCCCTATGAATGCTTGCATTATGTTTCTATTGGCCAGTGCTGATATAGAGAAACCTTCTATGTTCTCTGTGAGATTCTCAGGAGAGGATGTGGTTCAGCCCTGCCCGAGGAGGAGAGCCTCCCCACCATCAGGTGGCTGCTCTGGTACCAATCGGCTCTGTGGAGGGAGTGGTGCAGAACATGCTGCTGACTCAGGGGAGGCTGGGGGTGTGATGGCAATGGGGGCCACATCCAGGATAAGATGTCCTCCTGGTATCCAAGGAAAAGTATTACATGGGAAAGTGGCAGGATTATTATTGAGCCATTTACGTTTGCTCTACCTCTTTGCCATCCCTTCTCTAACCTGCTAGCTGGCCTTTTAGGACCTCCACATCAGGAGAATTTGGGTTGCAGAACCAAAGCAGAAGTGTCAGTAGATTTCCCCTCCACCTATGGGGGGTAGACTAGGCCAGGTGACCAGGGAGGGGGAGGGAGAGCAGGGAGATTTTGGTCCTGAGACTAGGTGGGGAGTGAAGAGGTTAACCATGCTCCTCATAGTAGCAGGGATCTGCCCTGCTTGTAGAAGTGCCCAGTGGAGGGGGTGGCCAAACTTCAGAGAGGAGAGGCCACCCAGTTCATCTAGGGAGCCCCTCAGCCTGGCTGGACTTGAGCCCTTCTTTTCTGGGAAGCATGTGAGCGAACAGCCTTTAAGTGACCACAAGAGCTTAGAAAACTAGGATAATAGCAATGGAAGTCCTTCACCCTAATATTCTAGGCCTACCAGATTCCCTTATGACTCAACAAAAGATGGAGATTTCCTCCCTCCTGCTGGGACAGAGTCTTAGAGGAGCCAGATTTACTCAGTTTGATTTCACTCTGCATCGGGAATACCAGAGGCCTAGGCCAAGGAAGCTCAACTTCCTTTGGTGGTTATAAGGTTAATTGCCTCATTCATACTTGCCATGACAAGCTAAGCAGGCCCCCTAAAATTACAGGGATAGGACTGTAGTCTCTGAATGAGTGCTTTCCTCATTAAGTCGTTCACTTCCTTAAGATTTCTGGAATGGAAACTAGGCCTGATGGTCCAGCCGTTGCTGTCTCTGGAGCCTCCTACTCCATATCACCCCACAGGGTCCATGCTAGAATTTTCTCTTGGCACCCTACATTCAGCCAGTCACCACACCCTACCAAGTCTACTTCCAGAGGATCTCCTGAGTCCATCCCTCTGGTCCCGCACCATCATTGCTCACCCTCTCATTTCTTACTGGCCTGCAATACAGCAGGCTCCTCCACGGCCCTAATCTCTGGCTCTGGCTCTGGCTCTGGCTCTCTGGATGTTTCCAGAACTGCCTTCGTGGAACTCCAGCTGCCTGTCTTGCTACTCTACTGCTTAAACAGCCACAGTAGCTCCTTTCTTTCTCACTGGATATGGTTTGACCTCCTCACTATGATATGAAAATCCCTTCAGAGTTTGGATGCTTTCCTCCTCCCTTGCAACCTTCTCTCCGAGAACATCTCAAACATGCCAGGCCCTGTTCAGGACTCCACAGTCAAATTTCATAGGTGGAAAAATGAAAACAAACAAGCAAACACACAAAAAGCCCCTCAAATGAGTTCCAGTAAGGGAGAACTCCTCAGAGAGCTGTCAAGAATGAAATTCAGTTGTGACTTGCCCTGTCACCCTCTTCCAACCCTAGTTTGTCTTACCCTTTCAGCTTGAATGATCTGTGTTCCTTGAAAAGTCCAAATTCTCAAGGTAGCTGATTGGTTGCTGCCCAATCAGTGGGTTTCCTGGTCTCCGATAAGGTGGCCATCTCTGGCTAATCAGTCGTGGTGATATGGGAGGTTGTTGTGTGGTGTGTGTGGGCTCTTCCACGGGCTGAGACCTGGGCAGATTCTCCAGAGCAGTACTTCTAGGCCTTAGTGTGCATATGAATCATCTGGGGAGCTTGTTAAAAAGCAGAAATGAACTCAGTGGATCCGCAGGAGGGCGGGAGTGGAGCTGGGAGTCTGCATTTCTAACAAGCTCTTGGGTGATGTTGAAGCTCCTGGTCTATGGACCACACTTTGAACAGGGAGATTCTACAAGGGCTGTAGTCAGGACATGGAGTAAAAAGTATTCAATACATTCCTCTTATTCTAGAGTGTTCTCTAATCTTTATTGCCATGAAAAAAAAAATTCTGATCGGTGTTTAAGGTACAATTTAAATGTAACTTCTATGGGTTTTTTTTTTTTTTTTCCTCTCATGGAGTTAATCGCATGTAAATCCTCTGTGATATCCCAATGATCATTTGCCTAATAGCTACGTGTATATATCTGTCCCCTCCATTTTTTTTTATTCTATTTAATGTATTTACATACGGTTTTTCTTTGTGTACAGTTTTGATGTGCAATCTGAGTTTTAACCAGCTTGTACAGTTGTGTAACTACCACCACGAGAGGTTCAGAAGAGTTGCATGGCCCCCAGATTCCCTTGTGCTGCCCTCCCTGCAACCCCAGCCCCTGGCAACCACTGACCTGTTTCTGTTCCTATACTTTTGTCTTTTTCATAATGTTATATAAGTAGAGTCATACACCATGTAGCCTTTTGAGTCTCCTCCATTTTGCTGTATTTATGGACCTGAGATAATATGCAATTCATCTTTGTTTCTGCCCAGATAAATGCTTAGCATAAATTTGGTGTTCGGCTACTCCTATTAGCGGTTCGGCAATTTCTCTTGTATTGGAATCTTCTGCAAGGCTTGCTGAGCCACAGAGTGCAGGAGCCCACCTCCAGAGTTTCTGATTCAGTAAGTCTGGAGTGGGGTCCAGGAATTTGCAATTCTTACAACTCCCAGATGATGCTGATGTTGTGCTCTGGGAGCCCCACTTTGAGAACCATTGACCCACAGGCTCTGTGCGATTATCAAACATCTCAGGAGATTCGTATATGCCTGCAAATTTGTGAATTCCAGCCTCAGTGCCATTGAAAGGGAAGGGAGTGTTCTTGTGGTACTTTTTTATACCACATGTGGCTCTCTGCTTTACCAGGGATAACTTCTTCAGCTCACAGTGACTCAAGAAGCAGAGAACACTGAGATTTGCTTGATTCAGTCATTCTGCCCTTGGGAGGGAAACCAAGATGAACGCATCGACTCCTGTAGAGGATGCCAATGCCAGTCATAAGCTAAACCAGTTCCAGTTATCTCTGGTTCTTCACACAGGCTCGAACAACGTTGGTGTGGAAACCGTGTGTGAGTATGTGTGTGCCATCTTAGAGAAAGCCAATGCGATTAAGGCTGGATCTGGACTCTGAGGGACAGCTCCTGTGGATGCTGAGGATTAGCAGTAACAGCTGCTGTCCTGCCCATTAGAGGAGAAACAGAAGAGAGAACAAAAGACTTGTTTAAAGGATGCATCCCTGCAACTCTGAGTGGGGGGAGCCTTTCCATCAAGGCTGAAGGAAAGTGTGATACTAGGTAAGTGGATGTCTTTCTGGGTTAGGTAGACGAGGTGCTGGTGGGAAAGCAGAAATCTCAAGATTTAAGGAGGAGAGGGTGGGAGTTGAGGCTGTGACCGTGGTCTGTGGGATGTGCCCTTCCCCCCTTCCCCTGTAGGCATCTGTGTTTGATCTGACCTGGGGAGAGGAGACCACCTTCTGCCATCTACAAAGGCTCAAGGGACATTTCCTTGTGGCCCTTCTGGAAGAAAATGGAAAAGGCCCTGTGTCCCCTCAACTGAGAATGTGCTTTTACAGCTCATTGTTCATTATTTCTTAATGTGTCTGAGAAACTGTAGGAATGGTCCTTTGTGGTGTAGAGGTTTTTGACTTTTTTGCCTCATGGAAGGCAAACCTAGTAGAGAAAGGTATTGTGCGAATTATTTGGGGTCACGTATTTGTAGCTACTTTCACTAAATTTTAAGTCTTTTATTTTTACCTTTTAAAACTAGCTTATTAGAGAGGGGGCTCTTGTTGCCATGTACTGCTCTTTAGATCAACATATTAGCTGCCCCTTGAACATTCTTGTGTATATAAACAATTTCAAAAAACCTACTTTTAAAAGATACCTGACCATTCTGAATGGTTTTTTTTCTTTAATTTTTTTTTAAGTTTATGTATTTTGAGAGAGAGAGAGACAGCGTGAGCACAAGCAGGGTTGGGACAGAAAGAGTGGGGAGAGAGAATCCCAAGCAGGCCCACACTGTCAGCACAGAGCCCGATGCAAGGCTCAAATTGATGAACTGTGAGATCATGACCTGAGCTGAAACCAAGAGTTGGATGCTTAGCCCACTGAGCCACCAAGGTGCTCTCTGAATGCTTATTCAGAGAGTAGTTTTCAACCTGTTGTATTTGCTATCTCTCGCAATATTTTCATCTGAGAACTCCTTTTTTACACAATTTTTAATTCTTTCTGTTGATGGCATTAGAGCTGGCAAACAAAAATGAAACTTATTCTATAAATGTTATTTTATCCAATCATTTGATTCTATTCCTGAGTCCTTTTTTTTTTTTTTTTTTTTTTTTTTTCCTGCCAATAAAGTTAACAATGGATCAGCTTGGGTGTAACTTTCTCTGCTCATCTTCTCTGTGAAAAAGTAGTGAAATAACTAAAGCCAGTCAACAGAAGGGAGGGCAAGAAGATATCAAAGTGTTGCAAATTTAACAGTTACTTCTAAATAATAGATAGTTGGCAGAAATTTTGTAACATTCAGTTCTGTAATTTACAAGTATAGAGATAAGATACTAACCCAAGCCACCATATGCCATGTGGCCTGACCATATTGGAGTACTGGGTGATTCACTTCCTCAATAATGTATTATAGCTCACACTGCCCTTGGAGATCAGACAGCTTGTAAAGGGTCCACATTAGGATACAAATATTTTCTGGTCTTATTTCCTTGACTTAATCAAATCCTCCCTTTGAAAAGAAACAGTCTAGTCTTGTAAGAAAATTATAAGACAGGCTTAAAAAAATATTTAGAAATGAAACACTTTCTACAGCCTGGCACATCTTTTTGATCTTGACCTTGAATCCTTGAAATCTGGGGAGGCAGCACTAAAGCTATCTCAGGTTTAAAGGCAGTGTGGGATTCAGGTTGGTTAAAGGCAGCGTGGATTCAGATCCGTCACATTCAAAACGACGTCATATTATTTTCTTACATAACATCTGGATTGAAGCTGTTACTTCTCGTGACGCAAGATAAGGGGAGGATGAGGGTCCCCGCTGCCCTCACAGGCTGGGCTTGTGCAGCTCTCTGCCTGGCTTCCTGCTCAACTGCCTTTTCTCATGGTGCCGGCTCAGTGGCCTGTCAGGACATGCAGCCCAAGCACCTTCAAGCCCAGCCTCAGAACCCCGGCACACACCACATCACCATTCACACCAGCAGATCTTCCTACTTACCGGGAGACATCGTTCCAGGTATGTATGGGAGAGCTTTGAGAGACCCCCAAGCCCTAGTGACAAATTCCAAGTTGTACTTGTCCCAAGCATGTGTCTTCTTGGCTAAAGTTTGACTTCATCCTAAAAAGCAATTATTGAGCCAAAGATACGTATGAACTATTTGTATCATGGAAACCACATAAATAATCTCTATATTGATACTCATTTTTACAAGCGGGCACAAATAACATTACAATAAAAAAGTATCCATCCTTCTAAGATAAATATAATTACCCCAAACAAACTTCATGTATCGTGTGTGTTGGTGCGTGCGTGTGTGAAATAGACTTTAGCTTCTCCTTATTTAAAACGAAAGTTATTTGCAGAGTGAAAAGAGTATTTCCTGCTGTTTTAGTTTAGGTGCCTGCAAAAACCGAGAAGGAACTTGAGGGAAGGTAGTTTATTTGGGCGATGATTCCAGGAAGTACAGATGAGGAAAGGGAGACAGGGAAGAGAGAGACACCAGTAAGAAGTGCGAGACTAGGCAGGTCACTGCCGTGGACAACTGAGACTCAATTCCAGTGGAGACCATCTAAGAAACCACACAAAACACACCTCTGAATCATCTCTCAGGAGGTTGGAGGGACCAGGGCACTTACAGGTGGAGGGTAGCGTCCCCACCACACATATACACTCACACACACACACACACACACACACACACACACACACACACTTCAGAGTCATGCCTGCTTACCTCGGACCAAGCTCCCAGCAGAAAAAGCAGAGAAGAAATCTACAGGTACTGGAAGCAGTAGCTGAGTGTAGACAGAAAATCATCTGTGCAACCACATGTGAACTCAAACATTTCAGCAGTGTTTGCTCTACCCCCTATTGATTTTGCTAATTCTTTTGATGTCAATTAGGGGAAATAAATTAGAATAAAATTTACTCTATAAATATCATTTTATCCAATCGTTCTGCTCTATTGGTACGTGTGGGGAAAAAGTATGTGGTAAAATATTGGCCCTCCACAGCAACATATTCCCCAAACTGAGACACAGGCTATTCGAACAGCGCTTCCCAAACTTTATCATATCACAACACAGCTAGAAAATGATAATACGTGTAGTGCATGCTGGGGCAAAGGCAAGAGGCTACTCAAGGCTGGGGGCAACTTTTCTGGGGCTCCAATCACCACAGTATGCACCCAGGCACCAGCATGAAGGGATCAATATATCAGCACCCCTGTGTTCTGTGGCTAAAGGAATGAAAATGGTAAAAAAAAAAAAAAAAAAAAATGCTGTAAAAAGTGACCCAAAATACTGTGACACCCAAAACTCTAATAAAAGGTGACCTGAAGGAAAAATGATTGTATTGTTATTGGAAGTAAAACAACATACATAATAAAGAGCTGGAGGGAACACTTCATGGATCCCACTTTATTGTGCTAGGATCACCCTGTTTTCTTTTCTTTTCTTTTCTTTTCTTTTCTTTTCTTTTCTTTTCTTTCTTCTTTTCTTTTCTTTTCTTTCTTTTTTTCTGGGACCCCACACTAATCCATGAGCTCCTTGAAGGTAAGGACTGTGTTGTCCTGTTCATGGATGTATGCTCAATGCCTAGTACAGTGCCTAGTTTTAAATAATAAGTAAATATTGTACAAATGTTTATTAATGAAAGTTCAATTGCAATGGAAAATAAAATGATCGCAGACACTAAGTTGCATTTAGCAAGCCTATAAAGTTATACCCATGATTTTAGCAACTCAGTTAATTACAAACGAGCTTGCCATATTATTTACGTCTGTAAGAAAAATTCCTGCAAGTGAAATTGCTAGATCAAAGGGAGACTGCATTTCTGGGCTTTTTGGCGTGTGGTAAAATATATGTAACAAAACGTTTGCCATTCTAATTGAAGTACACCATTCAGTGACATAATTTCACAATGTTGTACAACCATCACCATTATCCATTTCCAGAACTTTTTCATTACCTCAAGCAGAAGCTCAGTAGCCATTAAATAATAATCTCCATCTTCCAGACCCTGGTCACCTCTATAATCTTTCTGTCTTTATGGTAGTTTACCTGCTCAGGTACCTCGTATGAATGAATTATGCAACATGTTCATTTTGTGTCTAGCTAATTTCATTTACTGTAATGTTTTCTAGGCCTTTCCATGTTGTAGCATGTATCAGAGGTAACTGCATTTTAAATATGGAAAATATTATTAGGTTACTCGCCCCCTCGAAGAGTTGGATGGTTTATGGTACTAACAGTAGTGAATGAGTGTCCTAGTTTTTCCACAGTCCCATCAATAATGGTTATAATTACACATTTTAAAATTTGTGAACGTGGTAGGTTTAAAATAGTGCCTCATTGGTAATTATTTTCTAAATCACGATTGACCTTGCTTTGTTTTCTGTTTGTGTCCTTTGCTAAATTTAAGGTTGGTCATCTTTTTATTGATTCACTAATCCTCTTTGTATTTGCCTGTTTTGTATCTTTACAAATACTTTTCTTAGTTTATACTTTGTCTTCTGATTTCTCCTATGTTCATAATTTTTTAAACCATCTTTTTCTTTCTGGCAACTGGGTTTTTCTCGGGCATTCCAAACTACAATATTTTTACAAACCACATTTTTCCTAGTTTTTTCTATTTCTTTTTTTTTTTTTTAAATAATGTTTATTGGGGCGCCTGGGTGGCTCAGTCGGTTGGGCGGCCGACTTCGGCTCAGGTCATGATCTCACGGTCGGTGAGTTCGAGCCCCACGTCGGGCTCTGTGCTGACAGCTCAGAGCCTGGAGCCTGTTTCAGATTCTGTGTCTCCCTCTCTCTGACCCTCCCCCGTTCGTGCTCTGTCTCTCTCTGTCTCAAAAATAAATAAACGTTAAAAAATTTTTTTAAAAATGTTTATTTATTTTTGAGAGAGAGAGAGAGACAGAGAGAGAGAGAGAGAGAGAGGGGAAGGGGTAGAGAGAGGGAGACACAGAATCTGAAGCAGGCTCTAGGCTCCCAGCTGTCAGCAGAGAGCCCCACATGGGGCTCAAACTCAAGAATTGTGAGATCATGACCTGAGCCGAAGTCAGATGCTTAACCGACTGAGCCTCCCAGGTGCTCCCCGCTCTTTATTTTTAATTTTTTTTTTTAGTGTTAGGTATTTCATTTTTACATAACTTTGATCTAAATCAAATTTATTTCGGGCATGAAAGAACACTTCAACTCCCCTCCCCTTAATGAATTGTTTACTCTCTGAGGGCTTGTCTTAAGCTTTTCGTTTTGACAATACCCATATAAAATCACCAAATGGAACCACACGTTAAGAGTGCTCACCCTGAATGGATGTGTTCCGTTGCAGTGACCGTGAGAAGCAGTCGGGATTTCATGGGATTTCTACTACAGGCTCGAAGAGTCTCTGATCATCACATAGCTGGCACTTTTGTTTCCATCCCTCCTCATTCCAAACCGATGGCTTGTGTTCAAGAGGCTGACACAGTCACCCACTCTGACAAGACCCGGAAGAGAAACCTGGCCTTCGAGTGGCAGGCTCCTGCCCAGCCTGTGGGGGATATTAGATTCCTGTAAGAGTGAGTTAAGTGTTGCTTCTTAGTAATGGAGCCTTACACTTCGAACAGAGGGGGCTTCTCCTCTCCTTTCCTTCATGCTTTGTCCCCTACTCCAGCCACCTAATGACAAGGACAGGATGATGAGGACTGCCCCAACTAGACAGCCTATGCAGAGGCTAGCTAACAAGGAACTTACCCCCAGCTTCCCACTTTGTCGTTATCCATGGCTCAGGAGTACGTGATTTCCCTTCCTCTCTGGGCACAGATGCATCTTGGCCGACCTCTCCAGGAAATAATGGCCAAACAAAAAAAGGGCCAGTGGGAGAGTGGGGAAAACTGAGAAAGACAGAGGCTGAGGCATACAGACAAGTAGACACTTCCCTGGGCCCAGGGAAAGCCACTGAGGTCTCCCTGCCTTGGCCTGTGGTCTAGCAAATGGGCATAATAATGACAGCACCTACCTCAAGGGTTTGTATAGGGATGAAAGAGCCAATATAGGCAAAATGCTTACAATGGTTCCCGGCAACAGCAAACTCCATTTATACATCATTACTCAAAATGAGACACTTGCTTTGCCATTCTTTTCAGACACTTGTGTTTACCAAGAAAGAGATTTTTTTTTAACCCTTGGGAAAGGGTATGTGCTCCTCAGTTTCTTTCCCCCACACCCCTATATATATATATATATATATATATATATATATATATATATATGGGAGGCTTATATATATAAGGGGGAGGCTGTGCCTGAAGGTGGAGGCATCCAGACTCCATGTTGTCTTCCCCTCCAGATTTTGCCTTTGGCACTGGGAACAATGAAATATGAGCACCACTGCCTGCCCCCTGTCCCCACAGTGATGCTTTTCCATCATTTCCTGGTGGACTAAGTCAACAGACAGGACAGCAAGGAAGAAAACCCTGTGCCATAATGATTTTGCCCATTCGGGAAGGCCAGTATCCATCCACTTGACTGTTGGTGCAACCCAGCTTCTGCCTGGGCCTTTGGTTCTGATCCAATGCAAGAGAATGTGTGTGATTTAGAGTCCTTAAATATGTGGAGTTGCTTTTATTTCTCAAATCACCTCCATTTCCAGATTTGCCATCATAGCTGCTCAGTGCTACATAGTAAATAGTTTAGGAACTATTATTTCCATTTGACAGTAAAGGCACTTGATCAGAAGCCTCTCCCAAAGTCACCCTGTGTTGGCTCACCTCCGGATCCTTTCCCATGCTAGAAGTGATGATGTGCATGAGGCCTGAGCCATGACTCTTACTTGTACCCTAACACTTTGGGTGGCCTCAACTAAATTAATCACATTTTTATAACTGCCTTCTGAATATTTAAAATGAGAAAAATGCTAGTAGCCAATAATCCCTACCTCAGTGAAATTTTGGGGAGAATAAATGAAAAACTGTGAAGGTGATTTTCACAAAAGAAAGCCATAAGTATTCAAAATATTAGAGTACCAATGATGTATCTCTAATGTTTAATGGAATCTACAATTACAACAGAACCATACAATTGTACAACAGAATTATGAAAGTTTCAATTAACAGAGTAATTCAATTAACAATAGACCAGGAATGGCTAATGATAAAGTTGAAAATGGAAACTTTTGAGTCTAAACAGTTCAAGAAGACACCTTTTTGTCAAAATGAGGTTTTTAATGACTATATTTATTCAGGAGGGTCATTGATTTATACATATCCTTTCCTGTGTTAATTATTTGCTGCTGTTGAGTTTTGGGTTTTTTAAAAAAATTTTTTAACATTTATTTATTTTGGAGAGACAGAGAGAGACAGTGAGAGCAGGAGAGGGGCAGAGAGAGAGGGAGACACAGAACCCAAAGCAGGCTCCAGACTCTGAGCTCTCAGCACAGAGCCCAATGTGGGGCTTGAACTCACAAATCGCAAGATCATTACCAAGGCCGAAGTCGGATGCTTAGCCGGCTGAGCCACGCCAGGCACCCTGAGTTTTTATTTCTAAATAGAGTGGAGTCACCCAAAGGACAATACAATCATCTCTTCAGTTTTTCTATTCATTTAGACTTTTATTCTTCTTCAGGTATTATTTAAGGGAAACTAAATCCTCGAATCATTTTGCTTTCTTTTTCCACAGTTTATCAGTGGTCCAGTCATATTTCGTTTACTGGGAGAGGATTGAATCCCCTGTGATGTCTCAACAGACACGCAGCAGAGCCCATCGTGATGGCCCTGTGCAGCCCAGCTCACCGATGCCAACCCCTGGGTGGAGGCCAGAGGGAACGGAAGGAATCGCCCCAGGTACAGCTTGCCATGGGACTCAGAAGCCTGATTGGCATCATTATTTTTATAGCTATCTATTTTCACTTAGAAATTATGGCCGCTGGTCCCGGTTCTGACAACACAAGCAATAAACACCTGCCTCCACCGGCTGCTGCGGTTCTCGGGGACACAGCCGCAGTTGGGAGGGGACACTTGCCCGTGCTGTTTGTTGTGGCAAACAGACTTTGTGTGGTTCAACCTCCCAAATCAAAGTGGGCCCTGGGGTGGACAGTTAGATTCTGCTACAGAGCCAAAGAACAGCACCTACCTCCCTCTACCCCCGCACCTACCGGTCATCACAGTGTCTCAGCGGTTTCCTTCAAACCCCTGGAGCTACACAGGGAGCACAAGAAAGAGATGATCTTTTCTTATTTTTGTATAAAACCTCATCCAGCTTTAATTGTTACTTTCCATGGTAGGTAGCTGGCTCTTTGCAGCCTGGGTTGGAAAAGGGAATCAGGAATGAGAGGCTGTTTGGATGGCAATGGACTTTTTCTTGGCTCACCACATAACTTGAGACTCCATTGGCCTGTGAACTTCTGAAACAAAACAAAATGAAACAAAGCAGGGGCACCTGGTTGGCTCAGTCGGTAGAGCATGCAACTCTTGGCCTCAGGGTCATGAGGTCAAGCCCCACAATGGGTGTGGAGCCTACTTAAAAAATAAAACAAACAAACAAAAAAATAACCAGCCAGAGAATAAAGTGGTCATCTGAAAATTCCTGGTGATACAAAACTCATTTCCATTATTTATTTCTAGTTAAGTGCTCCAAATGGATGCACTCTTAAATTCATCCAGCCACCTGCACAGAAGATCCAATCTGTAATCCTCACGATCCCACTTTGCTTTATTCCGTCCTTTGTTTTTGGCCAACATGATGGTGTCTGACGTTGCTCAGTCTGGCAGACCCAGGCACAGAGCTCACCCTGGGCCACTCTCCCTACTGCCCAGCACACTCCTCCAACGTTCCCAGCAAGCTACTCCTAAAAGCAGATTAAGATCTCAGGGTCTGGCAGCGTGGCCTAAAGAAGACCCTGCAAACTCAATGTGTGTTTGAAGTCTCATGTTTTATTTTATAAATCATGCAAATGTTGCATTTTAATCCCAAGCATGTTTGTTTTAATATGAAGATGAGTAAAAGTGAGGTGTCAGGAAGTTACATCATGTTGGCCCTGCAGCCTGTCTTAGGATGTTACTGGGAACCCTGTCCCTTGGGGGGGCCGGTGGCAGACTCCCATCTGAGCAGCTAAAGGTAAACTCCTTATTACACTGCACACATTCCTCACCTTCTGGCCTAGCCTGTTTTCCTGCCCATTTCTCTACACAGATCCCAGTATTTCCCAAAGGAAAAAGTAGTGTGTGTGTGTGTGTGTGTGTGTGTGCCTGTGCATTGAGATGGGAGAGGGGAAGGGGTGTCATTTAGCAAAGTGAAATAGATTTCTTAACTGTGAGAGACTGCAGTAGGCAAATTACAAATTATGAATTTTCGCATTAGGAAGATGGTATATTGTATTTCCCAAACTTAGTTCCCAATAGACCCTCAGAACACTTCAGGGCCTGATCTTCATGTTTTGCCTTCAGACGTTTCCTCAAACCGGGCTCTTCCTCCTGGTAATCTGTTTATCTTTCAAGGGGAGTTTCAAATATCTTCTTTGTGAAACTTTCCCTGTATGTCTGGGGAGGCAAATGTAATTGTCTTCTTAATTCTGGTTTTTAAGCTCTCATCACACTGTAATTGATAAGGTCGGGCATCTAAGAGTCTCTCCTCCTAGATTTTGAGTTCAGAACCAACAGTTGCTACCATGCGGCATTTCTGTATCCCCAGGCTTCGCAGGAATGCCCGTCACACAATGAATCTGCGGGAAATGGCCGAATGCCTTTAGAGTTCAGGCAAGAATCTAAAACTGTCAACTTTTGCCACGTTCCGTATGTCTGTTAGGCTTCTTTGCTTTTCACTTCATCCTCAATGTTTCTGAGTGATGAAGGCTTTGGATAAGAGTGGCACAAAAAGAAAAAAAAAAAAAAAAGGCATTCCAATCCAGTTAGAACCCTGGCCAGAGAAACCTCAGCTAATGTGTTTTTGTTTTGTTTTTGTTCTTTGCAAACACCATCCTTGGCATCCTAACAGTCATCATGGTAAGCCCTCAGGGTGCCTTGCACCTGTGCCAGGCACTGTGTTCCATGATTCTACATCAATGATTTTACTTCACTCCTCAGCAGCCCTATGCTCTAGGTACCATTATTGGTACCATTTTGCAACAGAAGAAACTAATGCTCTGGGAGGACTTGCCCCAAACCAGGAGGTAGCAGAGTGGGGAATTGAACCCAGACAATAATCTGACTCTAAAACTGGTCTTGCTTACTTGCTGCGCTGTTTCTAATTTTTATTTCTAATGCTTGCTCTGGGCCGTCGTGTTGGCCAGTCATGGATGGGAAATGAGATGGCGGAGAGCAGGGCAGGGGCAGTGATCTCATCTCTGCCCATGGCACAGGCTCAAGTCATTAGCATCACCAGGTTATCGTTTCCTCTTAATACTATGGCAAGAAAGATCGAGGGCTTTTAAAAACCTTTGATTTCTGGAATTCTGATTTTTTTTTTCCTAGCTAGAAGCAGTTTTGGGTAGAGGTAAGGAAAAAAAAAAACAACAGTGGTCATAGTGGTTTCTATATTCCTTGAGTGATGACTGTTAAGAATGTACAGGTCCAGAGGACCAGAGGCTTACTATTTATAAAAATGTTAGAAATCGAGTCCTTTGCCACTTGGCCAGGGGTTTATATTACTGGGCAGATGATCGTTTTGTTGATATTTTTGAGTGGTCCAAACTTAATTTTTTGTCCCCAAGGTACCTTGGTCTCTAGTATTTGCCCCATTATCATAGTTGTTTATTCTAATCAGTATGAGGAAAATGCTCTCACTCTCTTTTGTGGTGTCTTTGGATCTCTGCTTAGCTCCCAGTCCCCCCACCACTCTTCCCCAGCAACGTGCAGACATCTTTGCTGTTGCCCTAACTAGAGCTACAGAGGAGAACAGCTTAGATTCTTCTCCTGCCAGTTTTTGGGTGATGGAATTTCCTGGGGGCACAGAGACTCTGTTGCAATCATCTTCACACACAGCTACTGCAATCAGCAATGGCCAGCAACCCAGAGGGGACAGCAGCCCAACCCTAGAACCATCTTTGGATGTCCGTGGGCTGGAGAGACTCATGGCTCCTGGGAGATTCTCCTCAGAGGGCATTGCTTCCAGCCCTAGCACCTACTTCAGGTAATGGATCAGGGGTGGACCATTCAGTAAGGTGGTAGGATGAGGCCAAACAGTGGGGTGCTGAGAAAACATACATTTCTTGGTGTCTGACAGAAAAGACCTCACCATATTTATTCTTAAGTGCACAAGAAACCCTGATTGTAGAAGGGCTACTGGTCAAAAGGACTGGGTATGAAAATCACCTAGGGAAACTGTATTCTCCTGGCCAGGGTGAGATCCCTGAGATGCTGCTATAAATAAAATAAGATACAAATATACATTTTATAGCTTAGATATGTAAATTTATAATATATAAATACATATTTTATGTAAAATAAATAAAAGCATTCAGTGAGTCTTTGTTGCTATCCTCACTAGCCTCTTCCCCACCCCATCTCCTATTCCTCTTTAGCCCTCAGCTCCAAACTCAGAAGTCTTTCCAAAGAAATCTGATTTTACCAGCATACATAGCAATGGTAGGAAATGCTGCTTTTTGATCCATATACTTAGTGACCCCTTCTCAGCCCTCTGTCCTTCTCTTTAGGACTCAGGATGATCCAAGCTTTGGTTCATTGGAAACTTGCCTGCCCTCGGATAGAGATGAACAGGTAATAGCCCTGGTTGTGCATGGTTGATGAGGCTGATATTTTGATCCCAGTGTGGGAAGTTCCAGGCTGGGAAAGCAAAGCTATTATACTAGTAGCCAAAATTTGAGAGAAGGACTCAAGGGTATGATATATATTCAGCATCTTTTTACCAATCAATACCAGCCTTTCTGTTATACACAGTGTCTCTGAAGTTATTGACAATTGTAGAAATTGATAGTTTTAGTTATTTGTTTTCCCACTTAGCCTCAGTTAATAATTCTTGTCTTTCCACCTCTCCACCCCCACTTTATAACATTGGCCTCAAAACACCACGTATGGTTCCAGAGGTTAGATCAATGGGCGGTATAAAATATACATGCCCACTGATTTACTATTCCTTTGAAGTCTTAAAAGGAACACAAAATAAAACATGGTATAATATTCCTACTCAAATTTATTGGAACCTACAGCAAGATTAAATGTCTTCTTTCATGGGTCCTAGCATAAAAAGACAGTCAAAGCTTTCTGCCATTGGAGATGATAATCACCCAAATTGGTCTGGAAACCTCTTAAAGGACCCTAAGTTTATTCTTGTAACTGGCCTCTATGCTCTCTTTGTGGGGTTTCCATTAGCTACCTCATCCCCATCAACCACAAGGGCATATCTATCTACTTGGGCATTTTATTCTGAGCTCTTTTAGGACCAGGCACAAGGTTGGGTTTTCAGGTGCTGCCTGGGCTTCTTTAAGGATCCCAAATTAATTGGGAAGTCCAGTGGCAGCTTGGAAGAAGACTAGATCCTTTGACTTCTTTTTTTTCCCTTTGCTTTTCTAGGACAAGATGGAATCCTCTAATAGGACTGTGAGGAGGTCCCATCTGTCCACTGTCCATCTTACCTATCCTCGGCATTTCTGGTCCTCTGAAGCATTCACTGGGAGTGAGGCTAGGGCAGCCACCTCAACCCCAGTCTTCCACACTTCTGCCACTTCTAGGCCACCTGCTGCAGGCAGCCAGTCAGAGGCATCTAGGCCTTCTGCCAGCTTCTTACCTCAGTCGAAGTACAAGGAGCCCAGAGTGGGGGAGGGAAATGGAAGGGGCAGAGGGGGATACCCCAGGAAGCCCAACCCAAGGCCTGGGGTTGAGCAAGAGGGACACAGTGCCCCTTTGGGGCTCCAGCTCAGGACTTCCCAGCTGGGAATCCTGCTTTGCCTTTCAGCCACCTTGGGCATGGCCCTGGCTGCTGGCCTTCGCTACCTGCATGCCCAATATTGCCACACTCAGACGGAAGTATCCTTCAGTGAGCCTGCTGGGGATGCTATTACCAGCAGCGACGGAGGCGAGACTGTACATGTCAGGAAGATCGGGGAGAACAGTTTTGTTTCAGTTGAAGTGGAATACAACTGGATCACTTCCTCTGTGGGTAGTGAGAAAACAGTCCTCTGAGAAGATCGTGGTACTAGGCAGGCCTCTGAGTGGCTGTCCCTAGACCCTGCGGTGTCTCAGCCAGAACAGAGCTAATGAGAATAGCTGATGAGGACAGGGGCTCCCTGTGCCCCCATCAGTGAGCAGTTAGTGGAGGAAGCTGTGAGCAGACCGTTTTATCAACAGAGGGAGTTCTGCCCGAGCTTTGTTGTCTTAACATCTGTAATTTAGCTGCTTTTTTTTTTCTTTTCACAATTAGACGTTCTGTTTGAAGAGTTAAACTCCACACAATGAATATTGTATAACCTGCTCATTAACTAGACTCCTGTGGCCGCCAAGCTTCCTCTGTTGCCTTAAGGAACCTGCAGAAATAGAAATTCTGTCCCTCCTCAGTATGTCAGCCTCATCCCTTCCAACTCTTTGAAAAAAAAAAAAAAAGTAATGTTGGGGTTGTGTCTCTTGCAAGAAAAAGAACCGTGGCCCTCACTTTGCCTCTCCAAACCACCCCAGAAGAAGTTTCATTTTCAACACTGGCTCTGCTTCGGTTGACTAGGTGAGTGCAAGGGTATTCAGTCTTCTTGGAAACTCAGAAGCCTGGCAAATCCCCTTGGAAATTGATCTGAAGCAAGGAGAGTTTGAGAGAGCTCGACTGAACACATCTGTGGGAAAACGTATACATGCTGCATAAACACCAGAGTGGGGTAAGCACGCCTCTTCATCAGGTGTAAATGGATCTGAGACTTCCCATCCATTTACACTTGATGGGAGGCTTATGAATCCTAACAGCTAGCAAACATATTGCCTTTTGCCAAAGGTCAGGCTGAAAAAAACTGATGATCCCACAGTTTGAAGAAGAGCCTCTACTCATCTTTTCAGGGAGAAAAGGAAGACAGCATTGTGGACAAAGTCCATTTTCTTGCTCTTGTGATTTACGAAGATCACTTTGATTTAGGACGTGTCCCATAGATACTGTGTGGGGTCAACAGGTTTGACTATAACTTTTGAATATACTCACCTAATACGACACGTAGAAATTAGCTGCCTTTTCAGAGCTAGACCTGCTACAGAGTCACAAAGCATTTTAATGTAGAAACAGGAAAACACCACACATCTGGCAAGGGTGTTTATTCATCCAGCACCTAGATCGTACAGGTAGTGTGCTAACTTTGCATACATTTTCACATTTAACTTTCACAATAACTTAATGAGGAAAAAGTGTAGTGACTTGCCAAAGAGAGAGAGGCTTTCATGACATCTCAGTTCAACAACAAAAACATTTGTTTAAAAAAACGGGGGTGTGGGAAAGAGCTAGATCCTGCTGTTTTTCCAGCCTCTTATAGCTCACTGGGCACTAATACCACAATTGTTTCCTCCTGGATTCTGGGCTGGGCAGATCTGTCCCGTCTTTAGTCAAGTGCCTCATTAGGACCAGGGAGACCTAGGTAATTGTGTGTTCACAAATGAAAGTGTTCTAGGAATGCTGTGGAAATGAGTGAATTTACTGTACTCCAATGGCAGCCACAGATATCCTTTTACATATCTTGCCCTCCTCAAATGAAATCCTCCCCGAGATGCAGACGAGGAACCCACCAGTGGAGAGCTCTCCTCTGACCATCACATCCGATGGCCAAGTGCACTACACGTACACCTTCAAGACCTTACCTGTCCAAGAGGACATTTTCCTGGGTAAACAGACTGTTGTCTATTTGTTTCACAACTGTTTGAAATAAACTATCCCCAAACTCAGTGGTTTAAAATAGCCATGACCACCACCACTTGTCGTCCATCACAGTTCTAGGGTTGGCTGGGCTCAGCTGGGCAGTTCATCTGTTCCATGTGTTCTTGACTGAGCTGGAACACCCAAGGTGACTCACTCACATGGCTGGCAGTTAGTCGCTGGCTGATGGCTGGGGCTCAGCTGGGGCCGTTGATGAGTGTAGGCAGCAATTTGTTCCTTCTCTTCCTGGTTTCTTACATCATGATGGCTGGGTTCCAAGATGGGTATTCCGAGCAGACAAAACCAGAAATTAGGCGATGTCTTGAGGCCTAGCCTCAGAAATAACATGGTTTCACTTCTGCCACTTTCTAGTGGTTACAGGGAGCCATGGGCCAGCTCTCCTTCTTCAGAAGGAAGGGCGATGGATTTCATTTTTGATGGGAGAAGTGGCAAAGGATGCCTAGCTATGTTTAATTCACTACCTCTCCGGTTAGACTACCGACCTGCCACAGGACTTATGTGAGAGTAGAAGGAAGGGACATTCATCCCCAAGAGGTGCCCTGGGGGACTTGTTCTGGAAAACATCGAAAGGGGTGACGGAAATCTCAGACATCAGGGTTAGGTATTTCCTCTTCTCCGGTTCCACGGGCAAAATAGTAAAGTGGTGCGGAAGAGTCAGCCAGGCCTCTGAGTCTCAGCTTCCCCATCAGAGAAAAACAAAATTATTTACCTGCTTCGGTTGTTGTGAAGATTAAATGCATGTTCGACATTTAGCCATCTATATAACCAACTGCTTAATGTCACTTTGCAGCCAACACCATCTTTAAATCTAGTCCATTTAGAGAAATTCAGTGGTCAACAAAAACGTTACTCCCTTTCCATGACAGCTTCTCCCTGTCGGCCCCTCCTTCTCCTGCCCAGCGCATGGAGGTGGTCACGGCTTTAGTTGTCATGGTAGCCACTGGCTACAGTTCCTGCTGGGGGTCACACATTTTTGCTGAGACATTCTGAGTAAACTCTTTTTTTGGCAGGGGCAGTGGGGTCCATAGACCTGTAGTCATGAGACATAAAACCCCTCTGTTACTGTGAACTTGAAAGTCCTCTAAGCCTGGCTTCAGAGAAGCCCCAGAGGGGAGCCAGTAGGAAGTGTTAACCTGAAGGCATTTACTAAAGCACAAAGACATTAAAAGTAAAAAAATGACAAAAAAAAAAAAAACCAAAACAAAACAAATGCAAAGTCTTTTTTTTTTTTTTTTTTTTCCCAACGTTTATTTATTTTTGGGACAGAGAGAGCGCATGAACGGACGAGGGGCAGAGAGAGAGGGAGACACAGAATCGGAAACAGGCTCCAGGCTCTGAGCCATCAGCCCAGAGCCCGACGCGGGGCTCGAACTCATGGACCGCGGGATCGTGACCTGGCTGAAGTCGGACGCTTAACCGACTGCGCCACCCAGGCGCCCCGCAAATGCAAAGTCTTAACATAATTTTTTTTGTTTTGTAGGAACAGCCACAGAATTGTTGGGCCAGCCACTTCTCAGAGAAGGGGGTTTGGGCTACATACACATTTAAGGGAAAATGGCAGAAAAACAATTGTTGACAACTCTATTTCAAACAAATGTTTTTACCTCTATTGTGTTGTGTTAATTCAATAATAGCAGATTGAGAGTAGGAGAGTAGGGGAGAGCCTCAACCTTTCTTACATTGAGAGGCTATTTCTGATATCTCTGATTTCTCACCTTGGATACAATATTTTCACTAAATCACAACCTAATGCTTAACGATAGCGTGGCTGAGCTGTCCCACTATTGAGGCTGTCTGGATTTTAATTTGCTGTGACAATGTTTGTTGCCTTTAAAAAAAATCCTAATTAACAACAACAACAAAAATGGGTCGACAAACCAGTAAATATTTAAATAAGTGTCGTGTTTTATTTGAAACGTTGTCTAGAGATGGCTGACACTTTATGAATAAATTGCAGATATACCCTCTCCCATTCTGGGACTTCCGGTGTTCATCAGTGATCCCAGACTCTCTGGAATACAGGCTCTGTGATTTGATTTCATTCTACCCCAGACTATCCCCTTCTTCTAAAAGTGGTGTGCAGCAAGGAATTTCTTTTATTCAAGTAAAATGAATTTGCGTCCCTTATTTTATTAAACTTGAGAACAGCCTCAGAAGAACTCTGCTCCTTTTGCAAGTGGAGGCTTTCAGGTGTTGCAAACCCAGGAACGGTCACCTCTGGTTTAGAGCATCAGGAGGGCCTTTATGATAAAAGGAAGTCTGAAGTTTAGTTTGTTATTCCATTTTTTACATGCAAAAGGAAAATGTGAATGTGTTGAGGCTCTGCTCTGTTGATAATTGAGTGAAGCTTCCAGGACAACTGAGCCCTGTCGAATGTTTTGTTTTGTTTTGTTTTTTGGTGGCTTTTTGCTTTTAAAACATAACTCAGTTGTGTTTTTTTTTTTTTAATGTTTATTTTTGAGAGAGAGAGAGACAGAGTGCCAGTGGGGAGGGGGAGAGAGAGACACACACACAGAATCCGAAGCAGGCTCCGGGCTCTGAGCTGTCAGCACAGAGCCTGACATGGGGCTCAAACCCATGAACCATGAGATCATGACCTGAGCCGAAATCAGACACTTAACCGACTGAGCCACCCAGGTGCCCCAAAACATAACTCAGTTTATGCCACACTGTCTCTGAGTTCTCTGGTGGCTTTCCACCTGTCTCCGAATAAAGTCTGAGCATCTGATTGGACTGACCAGGGGCTGTGAGACCTGGTCCCCTGCCCACCTTCTTCCTGACTCCCCACCTCCACTGTGCAGTCATGAGCGCTCCTTGAACACTGCACCACTTCATTCAGATCACTTGCTCTGGCTGTTCTTGTCTCAAATCCCATCCTCTCCGACCTCTCCTCAAGCCTTCAGAGCTTTGTTCCAATGTTGCCTTATCGGAGAAGCTCCTCCTGGCCATTGCAGTCTTTTCTCGCCCTCTATGCCCCTCTCTGCTTTACAATATTTATAGTACTTATCACTTCCTGAGTCTTATGTATTTATTTGTGTTATTTTCTGCCTCCACCCGACTAGGATGAGGCAGAGACTTTGTTTTACTCATTGATATTCCCCCAGCCCCTCGAGTTGTTCTTAGTACATCGTAAGTAATCAATAAAAATTTGCTAAATGAATGAATGGAAAGTTTCGGCTTTGTGTTGCTGCCCCCGGTTCTTAGTCTGGATTGAAGTTGAATATGCAGCACCTGGGGCAGTTCTAGGCAGGGTGTGTGGGCATCAGGAAATGCAGGTTCCTGTCTAGAGGTGAACTAGAGTTCTGTGGGCCACTGTCTCCAGGGCAGGGGATGTTCTGTGTCTCAGATCCAAGGCTCAGGGAAGTTCTTGGCACAGAGAGGCTGACAATAGACTTAACCTCCCAATCTGAGCTGGGGCAGAAGGAAAGCTGAATGGAGGCTTTCTAAGTCAGAAGCTCCCCGTGACCACACTTTCTTCAGTGTAGATACTCCGGCACATGGTTTCTAAGCCCCCATACTCTCAACATTTTGGGCTGGACAATCTTTTGTTGTGGGGCTGTCCTGTGCATTGTAGGATGCTGGGAAGCACATCTGGCCTCTACCCACTAATGAGAGTAGCTCCCTCCTCCCCAGTTGTGACAGCCAGAAGTGTCTCCAGACATTGCCCAATGTCCCCTGGAGGCCAAAACCAACTCCACTGGGGAACTGCTGGTCGAGTAACTAAGAGCTGCCATTGTAGGCCCCAGGATGAAGCAGGCTTTCCTAAATCGTTCCCATATTCGGGGATAGAGTGGGCAGTACTGACAGAACCATAGGGTTTAACCGTAGAAATGGCTTTGAAGGTCATCTGACTCAGTGGTTTTGACCTTTTAATTTCGCTTATTGGGTGGAACGATAAAAGTTGGATTCTCTGCTTAAAGTTTGAGGGTATCTGCCCTTCTTCCTTCCCTCCCCCTTTCTCCCTTTCAGCTCACCTTGAGGCACTGCCTCAGAAATTTCACCAACAAGCAAGGTTAAACATCGTTAAAAACACCTCCTTCTTACAGGTGAGGGGAAGAACAAGGCCGCTGAGAGCTCACAGTGGAACAACAGATTAGAGTCTCGGGCCGTCCACGGACTCCTTCCTTCCATCCTGATTTCCAACCCACTTTTCTTTCCAACACACTTGGCAGATCATTTGTTTTCTTGGAGCGTGTGGGGTGCTGTAAATGTTTCAATAGATCCAGAGAGAGCCTGGAATCAAGCAGAAAAATGCCTGGAATGATTAATCTGCATGTGCCATTAGACCCAGGACGATGGGACGTGGGGCCTGGCCACTCGTGGTGGGCTAGGCCGAGGCCTGACCTGCTGGGCTGGAATGGACAAGGCCCCAGCAGTGGGTGATGGGGAGAAGACAGACAAAGGGAAAAGGAACCACTGGGTCCACACAGCAAAGGTGCTGGCTGTCATTGTCCCACGACCCAGCTAGGAGCCACTGCTATAAGAGGCTTCTTTGGTGTGCAGCCAGCATCTTGAACTTACCGCTGCTCTTCCTCTGGACTCTGCATTTTCCTTCCTTCGAATGGCACCTCAGGAGAATCTTCATCCAGCAGCTGATGCTAGACAGCTTCTGCACAGGGTTTTGTTACTTGATAGAGGAGAGGGGCTGCCTGGGAATATATTCCGTCCGATATTAAAGAATGTATTTTCCTGATTTATAGTCAGGCCAGGCAGGGTTGTCTGAGAGGCAAGGAACCAATGGGAATGTCCATTTTGACTAATGATTAATTATTACATCTAAAGTGATGTTTTCCCATCAACTGATAGGCTGGAAAAATAGACTACAGCTTGCTAGGTTAGCGCCAAGGGTCACAGATGTTGCCTCTGCATTTTCAGATTATATTATCCATTACAGGCAGTACCTTCTCATTTAGAAACATAATTTGTTGTTCTCTCAGACCAAAAAAAAAGAAAAGAGAAGAAAAAAAAAGGCTGACATTTCACATGCAAGCCAAAGATTAGAATCACTGCACAGGACGGCATATGGAAGAACATTAGGATGTGGTGTCCCTGAATCAAGGACACAAGTTGGCTTGTGCGGAGAGAGATGTAGAAGGCAGTGACTTCTGATCTTTATTATGCAAATGGGCAGCCCTGAGAGCCAGGCTGTTTAACCTCATCAGGGGAAATGTCACTGATCATTTCAAGCTCCAAATGTAGCACAAGCATTAGTACTATTATGTTATTATTATTATTATTTGCAGGGCATTATGAAAGCCCGAGCCCTCTGATTAAGCAGAGCCCGTACTTGCCCAGACCCTCTGGGGTTGCAAATCAACTCCTCCAGGTATTAAAAAACAAACAAGCAAGTAAATCAGTTTTGTTCTCTTTAATGTTTGTGGATGGGACGCTTTGCAGATCGGGTGATGGCCAGGCTTGGGTGGAGATAGGGAGGATCCCAACGGCCGGCTTCCACCCCCGGATGCTTAATGACAGGCTGCCTCCTGTTTCCCGCAGGTCTCGTGCACCAGTGGCAGAGAGGTCAAGAAGAAGCTTAAATAAAGCATGGCACTGGGGCAGGAGAAGGGCTAGATCAGGGGGTGGATGTGGTGAGGAGGACTGGATCGAGAGAGAGACTCTGCAGAGATTAGAAAAGGAGGGGCCCTGATGGGGGCGGGGGAGAGACTCCTCTACCCCAGCTCAGGCACCACTGCTACCTTCCAGAGCCATAAAGAAAACTGAAGGCGACCGGATCTAAGAGGTGGAGACAAAAAGAGCTTGGAGTCAAGCAACAAAGAAAAGGAAGTGGAGGAGAAGAGAAAAAGCCGGCGGCAGTGATTAGTGGCCCAGGGCGACAGAAGGCAGAGGCTGAACCTCTCTGACCTCCAGGCGTCAGGACCTGAGCTGGCAAAGCTTCCAGAAGACATTCAGCAACAGACTTAACGGCGGTGGTGAAATTCTGGAGGAAACAAATAGGCGGTTGTGCGTTTTCCCTTTTCCTCCCACAGCCTGGTACCAGGGGAAAGGTCCAGCTTTAATAAGTCAATATTAATAAGTAACTTTAATAAGTAATAAGGAAGGAGCCTGGCTCATTGCATAATTGGAAAGACTAGAAGCTTCTCCACAGACCTTTAGAGTTCCTCTCATCTAGCCCCAGATCCTTTAGATATGAACTCTGCTATCAGGATCCCAGTCCAA